AGAGGATAACTTGGTTTGTTTTCAGGTTGTGTACACACACAGGCCTGGTTTGTCTTTTGAACTCTGCAATGGAAACCCGATTGATGTGCAGACAATAACATCTTGACAGCGAGACAAAGGGAAGAAAAGAACAAATGAATGATCCAGAAAAAAAAGGGAAAGCGGCTCGGATTTGGGTTTTTTTTTTTCTTTCTTTTTCAAAACAGATTTTCAGGAGGGATCTGGAATCATTAGTTCAGAGTGAGAAATGAGGAAGTGTCGAAAGTCGGACCACCTCATAAGACTCCACCTCACTGGTTGAGGAGTTTTGATCAGAACTGGCCAATGCTAAGCTCATGTTTCATCCATGTCACAATCTATCTTCAATGGTTACAGTAGCTGATTTATTGCTTTACTTGTTGAAATTTTTATCTTTTGAATTTGGATAGATGCACAGAAACGCTAGCTGTTCATGTAAGGCTGACAGTTACTATAGTTTAGAACAATTCTCTTAAGAATAAATGGGTAGTTTGGACAGAGAAAATAGTTAAAAATGTGAATCATTTTTAAACCTACTTTTTCAGGACTTAGAACAAAATTTGCTGATATTTTACAATTATAATTAATGTCTCTATATCTTAGCTCATTTCAAATGTTGCCTAATTATAATTTCTTAATTGTATTATGATTAATTGTATACCCGAGCAAACACATCAGTTCTAGACACACCGGACATTTTAAAAAAATATGTGCTTAGTTAGCTGAACTTTCTAGCTATTTTTGCCAGTTATTTTAGCTTAAAATTATCTTAAAAATTGATCCTAATCTGTCTTTTTCAGTCCATATATTTTGATTTGGGTTCATTTAAAAAAAATCTGAAAAGTGTCCTTCACTTCCTAACATGACGACATCAGCAAAGACATCATCATTCTTTAAACCGTTTATCGCAGAACTCTTGAAGGATGTGGAGTGACTGAAGTTTTTACGTCTAAAATTTGGGATAATTTTCCCACTAAAACAAATGTTTTTCTTTTTTTTAAATTTTGCTGCCTGTTGGCCAGTCTGACTCCTGACTGATATTCTGTGAAAAGAGGGGGGGAAAAAATGTGGCAGCAATTGAGTTAACGTCTGGATGTCGGCCACCAGGGTGAAGGTCGCAGAGGTCAACCGTGAGTTGTTACTCACTTAATCTTGACAGAGTGTAAGACAGACGACCTAAGGACTATTTCAAGGTGCTTTTAAAAACAAACAGGCCGCTGACAGTGGACAGCTCTCTCCCAGTCTTCTGTATCTTCTGGTACATGAGACTGAAGGACGGCGGAGCGGTACGTCAGGGTTAACTCCCTTTTAAAACTGTGTTAGAGTGAAATATAGGCCCAGGTTAGTAAGAGTGGTGTCAAATCACCTGTAATTGTCGGCGTGTGATAAGAAAGCGTTAGTGTTTCTACTGGCAGTGGTCAGATGCGGCTCGTGACGGGGCTTCTGGGGTTTGAAAGGGTTTAGATCTTTAGACAGAAATGAATTTTCAAAAGATGCAACCCAGAAACATGACGTATAAAGTAACACACACAGATAAGTCACAGAGTCCAGGCCTTAGCTTTTCTCCACTCTCACCGCGCAGAGTTAGTCATGGCAGCTGTTTAGTCAGAGATCAAGACCTTCTTCTGAAATAGAAGCCTCTCTGAATGGGAAATGTCAGAAAGAGTAGTAAACATTGGCGCTAATCTGTAAAAATGACAGAGGAGAAGAATCACAGAGGGCTTTTCATGTTCTCTGCTTTTCAAGTGAAGGTTATTTTTTAAACTTTTGAACGTGTGCATGAGTGAATTTCTGTTTGTCCTGTTTTATCCAAACACTTCTCTATGATGAAAAGTCCATTTAATCAAAAAAGATCACAAAACTGGGGCATTTATGATCTAGAGCAGCTGCTTTGGGAAAGAACGGCAAATAGCACCTCCAAAAAACTCACTTCTAGAAACTTTGAATTTGATTTGATTGACTGAAAATAAATGTTACTGGTTATTCTTTAATTAAGTACAAGCAGAGATAATGGTTTGGGTTTTTTTCTTCTATTTGAAGAGGAAAATGTAACAATTTCAAACAGAGACAAATGACACAAACCCTGGGTTGGATTCATGTCCGGGCTTTAAAACTTAAGCCATATTTGGCTTGGTATGACTGGTGGCTTATGTTGGGCTAATCTCAGCTAAGTCTGGGTAAACACTGCTCTATAAAGAACACTGAACATATGTATGACTTAAGCTGACCTCAGTGTAAACTCTTTATTGTTGGGGATCTATGTTAAGGCCTGTGCTGGACTGAAAATCCTTTTAAGTCAAGTCAAATGACATGCGTCATTCTCTGGGCTTTTTGACTCTTGTTTGTTGATAAAAAAGGACAGAGAACAGCAGCGGCAGTGAAAATATATCGGTGCCAGTATCGAGTTAACTATAAATAGTGACATTATATTCCACAGAGAACCATTTACTGACATCAGAACCTCCTGTCGGGGTCCACCACCACAACCTCTCTGCTCTCATTATTTACTCACATATTTCAGCACTCCAATCCAATTTAAGTAAAAATGGCAAAACATATTCTTTTTTAGTTCTGGCAACAAAACAAAAGGCAAGTATTGTTTTCATTGCTGACACTGGGTTCTTACTCCAAATCACCAACTGCACTGTTTAAGCCGAGTCAAGTTTAGAAACCATCTAAATACCCTGCCCCCCCCGCTGCCCCCCCCCCACTCACACCCACACGGACCTATTTTACAGCCTCAATGTGGTGATTTTAACATGATTGGGTCGTGTTTGTGTAATTTCAGGTCCTCTGCGGTACTTTTCCGTTTATGATCATCAGATTCTGGCGTGAGTCAGAGGAATTCAACTCTCAAATGAACTATTTATGAAGGGCTCAGTTTCCCTCAGCGATTTCTGCCCCCTGGTACTTTTTCTCTAAGGGTTACCGCTTTTGTCCAACCACAGTTTAAAGGTACCTATTGGTGGCAGTATTTTGGTTTTTTTTTTTTGGTTTGTTAAAAAGGCTAACCCAGCATCCCTGTGGCTTTGTGTATCCCGAAAGCCACGTTTTCTCTCGGACAACATGAGTGAAACTATGAAGTGTGTATATTGAAGTGACGCTAGCTCCAGCTGTATGTTCTTCACAGTCGAGGGCGGGGGGGCGTAAATCTGGTTCCAACTGGTTTAACATCTTACTCTCATATTCCTTACAAAAGAGAGGATATTGCATTATAAGTCGACTCACAGAACGCTTCACTGTCCAGGATAGGATTCACGGCCAGTTACGAAAATATATTTACTGCAGAAAAATGAAAAAAGACATTTTATTGCTAGTGTTTAGCTGTTGTTGCATAATTAATCTTGAGTAGGGAAATATTTACTCATATTTAAGTTAAATTTTATTAGATCTGACTAACAGTTAGCTGTTTAATTTCTGAGGTTATAAGCTAAATTACTGAATTAATCACCTGAACATCAACTACTCAGCCTTGTTTTTGCTCATTGAAGATTTTACAGAACAATGCTCATTTTAGAATCATTACTATTTCCTACTAGCTCTGACGCTGTATCTGAGGTTTGCAGGATGGGAACTGCATGTTGCTGAGGAAACAACACATGTGATGTTGCTCTGTTTGACACTGATTTTCTTTGGCTGCGACTCACTCGCCCGAGAAGTGGGCTCTCACACAGGCCATTGATGAGCCAAGGCAAGAGTAGAAAAAACCCCAACAATAGCAGATCAAATGGTTCAGAGTCTCTCTTTCTGCACCAGGGCTGAATCATCCTGGTGTGTTTTCCAGACTTTGTAGCTGGCATTTGAAATAGAATCAAATTTTATTTACTAGATCTGTAAAACAAAAGGCTTTCTATAGTCACACACACACACACACAACTCCCTCCTGTATCTAATAAGTTCACATGAGGTAACAGTGATGTAAGACACAAGGAGACCAAGTAGCAAAGAAGCTGAGGACTCAGCAGTTTACTTAAAGGTCCAGTATCTGACACATGGAAGGGTTTACTGGCAGCAGTTGAACGTAACACCCATACCAACGAATCTCAGAGTCTGTGATCGCTTAAAAATAAATAACAATTGGTTTTATAGCACTTGTGTTTGTACTTTAGAGAACTATCTGTGTTAGAGAGGCCACCATCACGCACCACAAACCTACTAGAGCAACACCGAGACAAAAAACCAGCCTTAACATGCATAGCTGTTTTGTTATGCATACGTAAGCTAACCTCTGAAACCAAGAAGTGTTTCATCAATAACTGCAAGAACGTATTTAGAAAAACAAAATTAAAACTGTTGTCACAAGTTAAATAGGGTGTGTAGACACAAATAATCTTCTTTGCAGATGACAAAAAAATTGTCCTGATGACACTGCCTTCAATCCTAACATTAACATTTTTACTATTTTTTAGCAATGTGGTGTGAGGTTTGGTAGATCATACCATTGAAATCAGTTTTTTATGTGTTATGCTGAACCTGTCTCTGTCTTTTTCTTCATGATTTTTTTTTATCTTAACATTAATTGGTTAGATCAGGTGAATTAAGAGTTTTACAGATAGTTGAAAATGTAAAGCATGTCTTCTAAGGTTTGATGATTTGGGATAATCCACATAAAGGATCTTGTCCAACTTGAAACACTATCTCTTTCCTATTTCTCTGTCCTTGGAGATAAGGATGAAAGAGCTCTTTTAGGCCTCCTTCAGTGAAAATCTGTCCATCTCTCCAAACCCCCCCCAGCCCCCTAGTCTAACCACCGCAGTGAAAATCTGTCCATCTCTCCAAACTGAACCCCCCCCACCCCCCCCCAGTCTAACCACCAACATCTGGCTCCATGTGTCTGCATTGACGAAAGACATCGAGCTTTTCACTGCCATTCAAATTAGGGAAAACTTGAGAAAGATGTTCCACTTATTGATCCAGAGATATAGTAATGTTGACATCTCCTGGACCAAATTCTAAACTGAACTTTTTTTTTTTTTTAACAGATTGAAAACTACATTAAAGAAAGCCTGAAGATGGAGATGGCTCAGCTGCAGCAGAGTGCCGTCCATAACCACAC